AGAGAAGCGTGTCCGGACCGGAAGGGGGGGGGGGGGAAGAGAGCGGGGGGAAGCAAGGGGGGGGAGAGAGGGAGCGTCAGCCGGAAGGGGGTTTCTATCCGGACCGGGGGGGGGGGGGCGCCGAGAGGCGGAAGGAGCGTCCGGACCGGAAGGGGGGGGGGGAGAGAGCGGTCCGACCGGGAGGGGGGGGAAGAATGAGAGGAGCGCGTCCGGACCGGAAGGGGGGGGGGGGGAGGGAGGAGCGCGTCCGGACCGGAAGGGGGGGGGGAGGGCTGAGGAGCGCGTCCGGACCGGAAGGGGGGGGGGAAGGGGGAGCGCGTTCCGGGGGGGAAGGGGGGGGGGGGACCCTTAAGGGAGAGAGAGGCGCGTTCTCCGGACCGGAACATTTCGGGGGGGAGGGGAGGCGGTCCGGACCGGAAGGGGGGGGGGGGGGGAGAGGGAGAGAGCGTCCGGGCACCGGAAGGGGGGGGGGGCAGAGAGAGCGCGTCTTCCGGACCGGAAGGGGGGGGGGGGGGAGAGAGAGAGGCGTCCGGACCGGAAGGGGGGGGGGAGGGAGAGAGCGCGTCCGGACCGGAAGGGGGGGGGGGAGAGGAGAGAGGCGTCCGGACCGGAAGGGGGGGGGGGCGAGGGGAGAGGACGGGAGCGCGTCCGGACCGGAAGGGGGGGGGAGAGAGAGATGCGCGTCCGGACGGAAGGGGGGGGGAGAGGGAGCGCGTCCGGGACCGGAAGGGGGGGGGGGGAGGGAGGGGGGGGCGGGGGGGGACCGGAAGGGGGGGGGGGAGGAGAGGGACCGGAAGGGGGGGGGATGGGGAGAGAGCGCGGTCCGGGACCGGAAGGGGGGGGGGAAGAGGGAGAGGAGAGCGCGTCGGGACCGGAAGGGGGGGAGAGAGAGGGGGCGGTCCGGACTCGGAAGGGGGGGGGGAGGGAAGAGAGCGCGGTCGGAGGAAGGAAGGGGGGGGGAGGTATGAGAGAGAGCGCGGACTTGTCCGGACCGGAAGGGGGGGGGAGAAGAGAGAGCCGTCCGGACCGGAAGGGGGGGGGGGAAGGAGAGAGAGCGCGTCCGGGACCGGAAGGGGGGGGGGAGGAGGGAGAAGCGCCGTCCGGACCGGACGGGGGGGGGAAGGGAGAGGCGCGTCCGGACCTGGAAGGGGGGAGGAGAGCCGCGAGCCGGACCCGGAAAGAGGGAAGGGGGAGGGAGAGGGCGCCCGTCCATGGACCGGAAGGGGGGGAAAGGGGGAGAGCGCCCGAGGAGGAGGTTTGGGGGGGGGGGAGAGGAGCGCGAAGCGTCCGGACCGGAAGGGGGGAGAGAAGGTCCGGACCGGAAGGGGGGGAGAAGAGCGCGTCCGGACCGGAAGGGGGGAAGAGAGGAGCGCGTCCCGGACCGGAAGGAAAGGAGGGAGAGAGATGAGTCGCCGTCCGGACCGGAAGGGGGGAGAGAGGCGCGTCCGGACCGGAAGGGGGGAGAGAGAGCGTCCGGACCGGAAGGGGGGAGGGAGAAGGGAGGGGAGAGAGAGCGCGTCCGGACCTGAAGGGGGGAAGAGAGAGTTAAGGGGGGGGGGGGGGGGGAGAGCGTCCGGACCGGAAGGGGGGGGGGGGGGGAGAGCGTCCGGACCGGAAGGGGGGGGGGGGGGGGAGAGCGTCCGGACCGGAGGAAGGGGGGGGGGGGGGAGAGCGTCCGGACCGGTAGGGGGGGGGGGAGAGCGTCCGGACCGGAAGGGGGGGGGGGGGGGAGAGCGTCCGGACCGGAAGGGGGGGGGGGAGAGAGCGTCCGGACCGGAAGGGGGGGGGGTGAGGAGGAGTTAACGTCCGGGTCACCGGAAGGGGGGGGGGGGGGAGAGAGCGTCGGACCGGAAGGGGGGGGGGGGGGGGAGAGCGTCCGGACCAGAAGTGGTTATATCTCACATAGGTGGTTGGGGAATGGATGTTCCTCAGTCTCTGTGGGAAGCTTGTCCTGGCCACTTACCACTGGCCCCAGAGGACCACCTAGGGTGGTGTTAGGTGGTGGGGGCCCCTTCAGAATGCAGTAAGTGATACACCCACCTGGATCTTGTTTACACAACAGCTGATCTCCAGCTGCAACCACAAAAAATACCCGCCCTTTATGGCAGAACATTTCTATACATACAGTACGGGGTCAGCAAGTGGTTAATATTCACGCCGTACTTCGCCCTTCACATGGGATGCAGCTCTATCTGATCAAGGAGCGATTTCCTCTCCTCAGGGAAAGAGGGAACAATCCATGGCAGCCCCCCCCCCCCCTGTTCCATCGATCATACGCCTTCCAGGTTTATTCAAAAACCAACCACAAGCAGTATGCAAAGTACAGGAACCGCTACCAATCAACCTCTTATTGGCCCTCTGACCCGCTCGCCATCAGGTCCTGTACTCAGCAGATCCGTAGTGCACTTGGCATCACATTGCTGGACAAGCCTGGAAAATATTCCCACCCCTGTCACATAGGCCTGCCACAGTCTCGGGTGTATATTTGCTCTTCGATGGTCGGCCGGCATTTGACAGCTATGTACTAAAACACGTCAGGAGGATGTCAGCAGGAAGACGGGCCGCCCCTCAGAGTCGGGTATTAGAATCACACAGCGGATGGTTTGTACTCGCTGGCCCGGGCTCAGAGCCGTCTGGGTTTCTGGTACTCGAAGGCAGAACTTGGCTGCAGTTGTTGGACGACGTCAACCTGTCAAACGTTAAATCTCTCTCCTCGCGGCTCAAATCACAGCAACCTTTACAGAGCTGAACACAACTTCCCGACATTGAGACGAATTTAAACCTTTTGTCAGCCAGAAGCCTAGATGTCCGCAATGTCCAGCAGCATCAGAATGATTGTTCAAGTTCGTACTTGATAAGTCGGCAATAACCTACTTGCTACCTAAAACATTTTACAAGGCTTTATCTGGCACACCTTAAAAAAAAAAAATATATATATATATCTATATCTCTTTACTACAGCACATTTTTAATACTGTAATTGTATTAGACAATTACAGTATTAATGCCCAATTTCATGTTTAAAGAGATATTCAAGGAGCGGCTTTAAAGAAAAAAAAACAAACACACCATGTCATACTTACCTGTTCTGTGTAACCCCTGGTTCACTTATCTGTGTTCCACGTTTTGCGTGAGCACAAGAGCCCATTCATTTTAATGGACTCCCGTGCCCCGGAACACGCAGGGAAGAAGTCCCGGCACTTCTTCTGAAAACGCAGCCGAGGTTCCAATACGGTTGTGATTTCCAGTGCAGGCGGCGTGCCAATAGAATCAATGGCACGCTCCGCATTCCTCTGTGTGGGTGGTGCGGCTGCACAGATTTTTGTGCGGATCCGCAGCGGCACTACCCGTAGATATGTGAACCTAGCCGAATAGATTGTAAGCTCCCAGGATCAGGGCCCTCAGGACCCGTACATATGTGAACCTAGCCGAATAGATTGTAAGCTCCCAGGATCAGGACCCGTACATATGTGAACCTAGCCGAATAGATTGTAAGCTCCCAGGATCAGGGCCCTCAGGACCCGTACATATGTGAACCTAGCCGAATAGATGTAAGCTCCCAGGATCAGGGCCCTCAGGACCCATACATATGTGAACCTAGCCGAATAGATTGTAAGCTCCCAGGATCAGGGCCCTCAGGACCCGTACATATGTGAACCTAGCCGAATAGATTGTAAGCTCCCAGGATCAGGACCCGTACATATGTGAACCTAGCCAAATAGATTGTAAGCTCCCAGGATCAGGGCCCTTAGGACCCATACATATGTGAACCTAGCCGAATAGACGTAAGCTCCCAGGATCAGGTAATATGTGAACTAGCCGAATAGATTGTAAGCTCCCAGGATCAGGGCCCTCAGGACCCGTACATATGTGAACCTAGACGAATAGAGTGTAAGCTCCCAGGATCAGGGCCCTCCTATCCCTCTTGTATTGATCTGTATTGTTGCTGTATTGTCTCCTGTTATATTGTACAGCGCTGAGCAAACTGTTGGCGCCATAAAGTCTGAATAATAAAAAAATAGTTTTGCACAGAGCAGCTCTCATCCTCTTGTTTTCGGGTCACCTGCCGGCATTCCTGCTCATCCCCCTTCACCAGTGCCCCCTATAGCAAGCCGCTTGCTATGGGGGCACTGGTGCGTGCAATCTCCCGAGCCTTGCTCTATTTGTCTATGGCTCGGTCCCACCCCCACTCCCTCCTCAGTGGCTGTGATTGACAGTAGTGAGAGCCAATGGCTACCACTGCTGTCTCAGCCAATGAGTAGAGGGAGACCCAGGACAGCCTAGGCTCTCGTGCACATCGCTGGATCGAGAGGGGGCTCAGGTGAGTACTGGGGGAGCTGCTGCACACAAAGACTTTTTACCTTCATGCATAGAATGTGTAAAGGTAAAAAAAAACCTTCAGCCTTTACAACCACTTTAATGTCCTTTTAAATTGTTTATTTGGCCCAAATTTCTCATTTTCTGCATTAACAAATGTGCTTACTGGGCAGGCTGCATAAAGTGTATGTAGGCTCAGCTGTACAGTATACAGTGCTGTGTGCTGGCCGTCCGACAGGAACTCCACTTCTGGACCACAAACATCGGTCTGAGCGCTACTCAGCCATTTACAAGGATCTTTGTTTTCTTATGAAATGAATACACAGCTTTCTGTGATTGGCTGTAGTGGCGATCGTGACACCATTTAACTTCCTATGCAGGTGCCCTGCAAAACGCACACAATGCATCTGGTTGCGGTGCGTTAGTGTGGACTTCAAGGAGTTAAATCAGGCAGCGAGGTGGTCGAATGCTCCCTCTGAAGAGCAGACCAAACATGGATCACTCTCCAGAGGGCAGAGCTAGTGTGAACGAGCCCTTCAGGGAACTAACTAGGGATGAGTTTGGGGTTCCATCTTCACTGGTCCCAAACCAGAAGCTAGTTGTACTGCTGGGCCAATGAGCTGGGGGGGGGGGGGGGGGGGTAGATCCCCACCCCCCCGGGAAGTAGTGCAGCAAGTATTTACCTGTGTCAGGGACATCTGTGGGCCTCATGATTCTGCGGATCTGTTCCATGGACTGCAGATCGGGAGAAAGTCCTGGATACAAAAAAAAAAAAAAAAAAAATACATAAAAATATTCATAATAAATTTCCAAGAAACAACAAATATAATTCAATTAAATGGTAAACATATTTCTTCAAAAGATTTGACTACAAATCAGGGACACAATGTGCAGCGATCGTGGCAGTAGGCCAGACCGACTCCTATAACTGAAATACCAATTATTCGGCCGTTGGTGCCTCTTACTTCTGCTGGACTCCAGTGGGGAGAGCTCAGTGTTCCCATTTCTCAGGTTCTCTAGATTCTACATTGTATAGTATGTGCTGACCCTGAGAGGTGTCAGGGGGTTCAACCCTCGCCTACCAGGCACTGTCACCCCCTTCCTGCCCAGGCCAATTTTCAGGTTTCAGCACTGTCACACTTTGACAACTGCTGCGCGGTCATGCAACACTGCACCAAAATTTAATTTTTATCATTTTTTTTTCCCACACAAACAAGCAAAAGGTTTGGGGAAAAAAAAAAAAAAAAACTGTTTCGGTTATAAAATTTTGCAAACAGGTAATTTTTCTCCTTCACTGATGTGCGTTGATGAGGCTGCACTGATAGGCACTGATAGGCAGCACTGATGGGTGACACTGCTGGGCAAAGATCATCAACGCTCTGATCATCAGTGCCAATCTGTTTTCTGACAATTGCCAGTTTATCGGCAGTACTTTACTCATGCTGTGACAGTGCGAGGAATGTGCAGCTGATAACCGGCGACTGCATTTACCCGGTGATCTGCTGTGTCATTGGACACAGCTGATCACGTGGTAAAAGGCCACTGTGAAAAGCTGATCACGTGGTAAAAGGCTGCTGTGACTGGCCTTCGGACGCAGCTGATCACGTGGTAAAAGGCTGCTGTGATTGGCCTTCGGACGCAGCTGATCACGTGGTAAAAGGCTGCTGTGATGGCCTTCGGACGCAGCTGATCACGTGGTAAAAAGGCTGCTGTGATTGGCCTTCGGACGCAGCTGATCACGTGGTAAAAGGCTGCTGTGATTGGCCTTCGGACGCAGCTGATCACGTGGTAAAAGGCTGCTGTGACTGGCCTTCGGACGCAGCTGATCACGTGGTAAAAGGCTGCTGTGATTGGCCTTCGGACGCAGCTGATCACGTGGTAAAAGGCTGCTGTGACTGGCCTTCGGACGCAGCTGATCACGTGGTAAAAGGCTGCTGTGACTGGCCTTCGGACGCAGCTGATCACGTGGTAAAAGGCTGCTGTGATTGGCCTTCGGACGCAGCTGATCACGTGGTAAAAGGCTGCTGTGACTGGCCTTCGGACGCAGCTGATCACGTGGTAAAAAAGGCTGCTGTGATTGGCCTTCGGACGCAGCTGATCACGTGGTAAAAGGCTGCTGTGATTGGCCTTCGGACGCAGCTGATCACGTGGTAAAAGGCCGCTGCGATTGGCCTTTTACCACATCACATCAGCTGTGTCCGAAGGACAGGAGGATGTCATATGACGCCCTCCCAGAACTGGACAACCACACTGCAGCTGTCATTGGTTGGCAAGTGGTTAAAGTAGGCCTATTAGGCAAAACCTTTCCCCCCCCCCCCCACTTTGAATGTAAGGGAGGGTTATAACGGTTGTCGCGTTGTTATGCCATCTGTGTCCCATTGGAGGAGATTTCCCTTCTCTTCCTGTTCCACAGCCAAAACAGGAAGTGAAATTCCTCCAAAGTGATGGTTGTCACCAAAACTAGTGTCTCCATTAGAAGATTTCCCTCCATTCCTGTTCTGTGGACAACTAAAAATTTGGGTTTTGCCTTCACTTTCAATGAAACGATAAAACAGGACAAATGGGGTAAAAATCTTCCTAATGGGGAACAGACAGCAACGAAAGTCTGACAGGGGGTCTAATTCCCCCCCAACCAAAAAAAAAAAAAAAATAATTGCCTTTACAAAATTGAATTTTTTTGGGAAAAACCTACCCATTCCCAATTTATAGCAAAAAATGATTTAACCACTTGCTGCGCTGCCACAGTCCAGGTAATGCGGCAGAGAGGCACCTGCAGGATCAGATCTCACACTAATATGGAGGAGCGCGCCTCTCCTGGGACCGGGTGTCATGTGATCACAATGTATACAACCTGTCATGAATGGGGGGCATTTCACCAACAGCTTTGGGGGGGGGGGGGGGGTTATATTTGCACTGTCCTGACGTTGGGGGGGGGGGGGGGGGGGGGGGGGGGGGGGGGGGGGGGGGGGGGGGGGTGGGGGTGGGGGGGCTGGGGGTCATATCTGCACTGTCCTCACATTGGGGGGGGGGGGGGGGGGGGGGGGGGGGGGAAGATGAGTACTGTCCCTCAAGAAGAGATGTGTACTGTCCTCACATGGGGGGGGGGGGGGGGGGGGGGTAACTGTCCTCCTCACATACCCCATCGGGGGGGGAGATGTGCACTGTCCTCACATTTTGAGGGGGGGGGGGATGTGCACTGTCCTCACACATTTTGAGGGGGGGGGGGGGGATGTGCACTGTCCTCACATCTGGGGGGGGGGATGTGCACTGTCCTCACATCTGGGGGGGGGGGGGGGGGATGTGCACTGTCCTCACATCTGGGGGGGGGGATGTGCACTGTCCTCACATCTGGGGGGGGGGGGTGCACTGTCCTCACATTGGGGGGGGGGTGTGCACTGTCCTCACATTTGGGGGGGGGGTGTGCACTGTCCTCACATTTGGGGGGGGGGGTGTGCACTGTCCTCACATTTGGGGGGGGGGTGTGCACTGTCCTCATATTTTGGGGGGGGGTGTCCCCTCATATTTTGGGGGGGGGGTGTGCACTGTCCTCATATTTTGGGGGGGGGGTGCACTGTCCTCATATTTTGGGGGGGGGGTGCACTGTCCTCATATTTTGGGGGGGGGGGGGGGGTGCACTGTCCTCATATTTTGGGGGGGGGGTGCACTGTCCTGTCATATTTTGGGGGGGGTGTACTGTCCTCATATTTTGGGGGGGGTGTACTGTCCTCATATTTTGTACTGGGGGGGGGGTGTACTGTCCTCATATTTTGGGGGGGGGGTGTGTACTGTCCTCATATTTTGGGGGGGGGTGTACTGTCTCTCTTCATATTTTGGGGGGGGGTGTTGTACTGTCCTCATATTTTGGGGGGGGGTTGTACTGTCCTCATATTTTGGGGGGGGGTGTACTGTCCTCATATTTTGGGGGGGGGTGTACTGTCCTCATATTTTGGGGGGGGGGGGGGGTGTACTGTCCTCATATTTTGGGGGGGGGTGTGTACTGTCCTCATATTTTGGGGGGGGGGTGTACTGTCCTCATATTTTGGGGGGGGGTGTACTGTCCTCATATTTTTGGGGGGGGTGTACTGTCCTCATATTTTGGGGGGGGGGTGTGTACTGTCCTCATATTTTGGGGGGGGGTGTACTGTCCTCATATTTTGGGGGGGGGTGTACTGTCCTCATATTTTGGGGGGGGGGGTGTACTGTCCTCATATTTTGGGGGGGGGTGTACTGTCCTCATATTTTGGGGGGGGTGTACTGTCCTCATATTTTGGGGGGGGGGGGTGTACTGTCCTCATATTTTGGGGGGGGTTGTACTGTCCTCATATTTTGGGGGGGGGGGTGTACTGTCCTCATATTTTGGGGGGGGGTGTACTGTCCTCATATTTTGGGGGGGGGGGGGGGGGGGGTTGGTACTGTCCTCATTTTTGGGGGGGGGGGTGTACTGTCCTCATTTTGGGGGGGGGGGGTGTACTGTCCTCATTTTTGGGGGGGGGGGGGGGGTGTACTGTCCTCATTTTGGGGGGGGGGTACTGTGGGGGGGTGTACTGTCCTCATCATTTTGGGGGGGGGGGGGTGTACTGTCCTCATTTTGGGGGGGGGTGTACTGTCCTCATTTTGGGGGGGGGGTTACTGTCCTCATTTTGGGGGGGGGTGTACTGTCTCATTTTGGGGGGGGTGTTACTGTCCTCATTTTGGGGGGGGGTGTGTACTGTCCTCATTTTGGGGGGGGGTGTACTGTCCTCACATGTCCCTTTTTGGGGGGGAGGGATGTGTACTGTCCTCACATTTTGGGGGGGGGATGTGTACTGTCCTCACATTTTTGGGGGGGATGTGTACTGTCCTGACATTTTGGGGGGGGGGGGGATGTGTGTACTGTCCTCACATTTGGGGGGGGGGTGATTTGTACTGTCCTCACATTTGGGGGGGGGGGGAGATTTGTACTGTCCTCACATTTGGGGGGGGGGGGGGAGGAGATTTGTACTGTCCTCACATTTGGGGGGGGGGGGTGGAGATTTGTACTGTCCTCACATTTGGGGGGGGGGGAGATTTGTACTGTCCTCACATTTGGGGGGGGTGATGGTGGGGGGGGGGGGGGGGGAGATTTGTACTGTCCTCTCATTTGGGGGGGGAGGTGTACTGTCCTCACATTTGGGGGGGAGGTGTACTGTCCTCACATTTGGGGGGGAGGTGTACTGTCCTCACATTTGGGGGGGGGAAGATTTGTACTGTCCTCACATTTGGGGGGGGGGGGGGGGATTTGTACTGTCCCGGTGTTTTCGGGCCTCAAGCAATGAGATTGGCTGTCAGGATGGATCCACGTTCAGACACGTCGGTGTTTCTGCCTCCAACTCTCCTACAGACTATACAATACACAGATTTGGGTTATTTTCACCAATATACAGTTTGGCCTAAATTTATGCAGATATTTAATTGTATTGGATATTTTTATAACAAAGTAGAAAACTATCAAAATTTTCTGTCTTTTTCGTTTATAGAAAAAAGAATAAAAAACCCAGTGGTGGTGATGGGAAATAAAAAAAAATAAAAAAGGGAAGAAGAGGGAGGGGGGGGATGTCTAAAAAGGGGGTTGTGGTCTGCTTTCTATTAATTGGAGGGGGGGATGTGCTGACGCAGTGCTTCATGGTCATTGCACAGCCCCTGTCCCCGGGGAGCTGACGATCTATGATCCCTCGCTGCATACAAGGGCCAATTAGATCGAAGCCAATTAATGATGAGTGAGAGGGACCAGCAGATC